TTTTTCATTTGCTCCTTGGACTCAATAATTTTTAATAACCTGTCATCAACTATGCACATTCTTTTTTGTGCCTTGTTTCCTCTGCTTTTAAATTACCCTAGTAACTTTTCAGTTCATTTATTATATTTCAGCTCCAAAATTTTGGTCTGGTTCTTTTTTATAGCTTGTCTCTTACTGATATTCACATTTCGTTCATATGTTATTTTCCTGATTTTGTGTAGTTATCTATCTCTGCTCCCTTTTAGTTCATGGAATACCTTTAAGGCAGTTATTTCAAATATTTTTCAAGTAATTCCAAGGGCTACATTTCTTTTGGGTCAGTTTCTGGAAAGTTTTATTTGCCATTTATTTGGCTTTGTTTTTTTTTTGTTTGTTTTTTTTGTTGTTTTTGTTTGTTGTTTTTTTTTGAGACAGAGTCTCGCTTTGTTGCCCAGGCTAGAGTGAGTGCCGTGGCGTCAGCCTAGCTCACAGCAACCTCAAACTCCTGGGCTCAAGGGATCCTCCTGCCTCAGCCTCCACAAGTAGCTGGGACTACAGCATGTGCCACCATGCCGGCTAATTTTTTGTATATATTAGTTGGCCAATTAATTTCTTTCTATTTATAGTAGAGACGGGGTCTCGCTCTTGCTCAGGCTGGTTTCGAACTCCTGACCTCGAGCAATCCGCCCGCCTCGGCCTCCCAGAGAGCTAGGATTACAGGCGTGAGCCACCGCGCCCGGCCTGGCTTTGTTTTTTTATGTTTTTGTAGGACTTAAAATTTTTTGTTGTGCATGTTCCCTTCACTGCTGAAATGCAATGGCGCAATCACAAGCTCACTGCAACCGCCAACTCCCGGGCTCAAGCGATCCTCCTACTTGCTCAGGCTGGTTTCGAACTCCTGACCTCGAGCAATCCGCCCGCCTCGGCCTCCCAGAGAGCTAGGATTACAGGCGTGAGCCACCGCGCCCGGCCTGGCTTTGTTTTTTTATGTTTTTGTAGGACTTAAAATTTTTTGTTGTGCATGTTCCCTTCACTGCTGAAATGCAATGGCGCAATCACAGCTCACTGCAACCGCCAACTCCCGGGCTCAAGCGATCCTCCTAGCTCAGCTTCCCAAGTATCTGGGACTACAGACTTTACTGACTGGTTTCATGCAGGGCAACACCTTCCCTAGTCAGCCCAGTATAAGGCTCTGGGATCTCTCAGTTCTTTTCTGAGGTTATATCTTCCCTGGCCTGGTATATGTGCTTTTACTCCAGTATATGCAGCTGCTTATAAAGTATTTATTTTTCCCAAGAGAATTATCCCTTCTTCTCCAAGGTCTTCTGTGTCTGTGGTATTTCTCTACTCAAAATCTCTCCCTGGCATCCCCCACTCCAACCTTCCTGGCACTGCAGAATCTGTGCTGCTCTAATGTACCGCAGAACCTGCTTATAATTTCAGTAGCCTCCAGTCTGACATACAAATATGCCATTGTTCCTTTCAGTAATCAAAGTCAGACAAGACAGAATCCAGTCCTTCGTGCAGATGCCAAAATGATGAATGCAAATTCTACTCTTTCTTCCATCCTAAGAAGGAAATAGGGAGGAAGGCACAAATACTGTGCCGGGGAGGAGATGGGGTAAAGATGAACAAATTTCCACAAACCTTCCTACACTTTCTGGGTCAGTTTTGTATCGATTAGGTGTTCATTGGGTACTGAGCTTCTGTACTGTTTCTAGACTCTTCTCAAAGGTATTTTGGACCATATATTGTTGGTAAGTCGGTGTCTCCATGGAGGAATGAGGGCCTGGCATTTGCTAGTCTGCCTTCTTGTGGAAATCACTCTTCATGTCTCTTTTTATTTTGAAGATGTTATCTTAACAGGTCTGTTGATGTGATTTCAAAATACAGGAGCCGGCAAAAGAGACACTATTATTTTACACAACAAACAAGGAGATTTACCCTAAAAAATTTAATATGTAAAAATAGTTTAATTTTTTTAAACACATAATATTTTGATTAATTAATTATTTTAGCTTTTTTACAAATGTGATCAAGCTCATGCCTTGGCAACAGCCTCCTGCTAGTTTTGTTTCCTTAAACATCTCTGCCTATCCAGCCAGGGGATCATCATTCTGCCCCCATGGTTTCCCTACATTGCTGTACCCTTGAGAAAGTTTCATTGTATCTCTGTGTGACAGAATAACTTCATTCATCTTAATGTCTTGGCCATTTCCACGTGGTTTCTTTTTTTTTCCCATGTCCTCCTAAAAATATTCATGCATAAGGAATCTTTATGTAGGATTTTGTTAAAAATATGGGTGGAAATAGAACTCATGGGACATTCAGTCTGATGCATGATATGTGAAAAAGCAAATATCTGAGAGATGTAAAACTGCCTTCTTCCCATGTCATCATACTGTCTCCCTTTTGAATCCCTTCTTGTCCCACACCTATAGTGTAATTCCCATATTTATGCATGGATCAGTGTTTCTTTCCTTCCAAGGTCAGAATTTGAACTACTCTAGTACACTTATATGAGAGCTGTCCAGAAGGTATGCAGCCATTGTTAGTATCATTTTTCATATTACATAGCTGGATACTTTCCAGACAGCCCTCGTATTCCCAGATTTGCATGCACAAAGTTTATGCCTACATGCCTATTACTTTCTCCCCTCTACTCTTGCCCTGGCTCTATCCTGGCCTTTCAACACATGGTACCTTGATCTCGGTGGAATATACTGTTACTTCCTAGCATATTAACTTTGTACTCCTGAACTCCCTAATTTCCACAGAACACTCTCACCTCCCACACTTCTCACTGTGTAAGGCAACATGTTACTCATCCACTTAATGTCAGGATGCTTCCTTAATCAGTAAGTACAGGGGATGATGACTCAGCTACCATTACTCTGAAGGATGGCTGAGTAGCACTATTAGCAACACAGCTCAGCTCTTGTATCTCCACTGTATTTCTTTATATGCTTGAGTTATTTGCTGTGACCAGTTATTTTCTATACTGCCTGGGTGAACAGTTGTGTGTAAGAATGTGTCTGATCTTGTAGGCCCAGGATCAAATCCTCTCTTTCTCAGTTACTTTCTGTGCAAATTGGGCTTAAATACATGAATACTGTGGGCCCAGTGTCTTTATTTGAAAAATAATGATAATTTATCTGAAAGCTTTCAACATAAGTTAGTGCTGTGTGAGGGCTGTGTGAGAATATTGCATGTTTGGCAGTAAAGTCTCAAAGTTCCTTTGTTTAATGATTTATCAACTTTACAATGAGATGGTCCTTTCCCTCACTTATTTAACTCATTGTACAATAAAAAATACCATAGACCGGGAGGAATAAACCACAGAAATTTATTTCTCATAGACCTGGAGACTGAAAAATCAAGACTAAAGTCAGTACCAGACAAATTGGTTCCTGGTGAGAGTCCTCCTCTTGGTTTACCCCAGCCATCTTCTGACTACCCTACATAGTAAAAAGAATGACAGGAAACAAGCTGTTATGTCTTTTCTTTTAAGGGCATTAATTCTGCTTCTGAGTAGTCCACCCTCATGACCCCATTATGTCCCAAAGGCTGCACCTGCAATAATATCCCATTGGAGAATAGGACCTTAGCATATGAATTTTGGCTGGCATATTCAGACCATAGAGGCTGCATTCATTATATTTTGTATGCTTTTATTGTTTTGTTTGTTCTAAACAATATGTTCTCTCATCTCAGTTAATACATTTTCTAAGTACAAACTCTGTATATTTTGTGGCTGATTATTGAAAGGCAATACATTATTAATCTGTTATTAAAGGATAATACATATATAGGGAATTGCTCTATTGACTGTTACATAACTGTGTGTGAAATCATTGTGATTTCTCACTTTGTTACCTAATTCTTATTCTCTGTTATGCTATGTATTTACCTGACTTCATGCATCAAAAGTCAGTGATCTTAACATATATTCCAGTTCTCCTATCATGTGCTGCTTCTGAAATACTAGTTCCTGGTTTTGGTTAAGAGGGAAATGTTTAGAATTGCACAGACTATAACTTTATATAAATATGGTTATTAATTATTTGCTCCCTGGTTTTAGCATGGACTACTATGTTTTATTAATTACTTTTTATTAAGATTTACAGGTGATGGTTTTCCAGTAGGTTTTATGCAATATAACTGACGTATATCAGTCATTAATGTCACAAAATGCCTTATCTATATGGGTATAGTTTTATAGCAGGTATTCCAAAAAATATGATATGTTTTAACTTTTTCCTTATTTTGTCAGTGCTATTATTGTTTACAATCCAGAATTACCATTTATTTAGATTAGTCATTGCATAAGTTTATTGTGGCTTATTTACTGTTATAGTATATTGTGCAGTATGTTAGTATTTACCCATACAGTATAAATATGCTATAATTATATACAATCTAATTTTTTTCTGTTCAATAGTGTGACAACCATGTTTTCTGAACATAGTCCTGTTACTAATTGGTGTGTACTTTGGAGTCAAGGTGGAAAAATATTACTACTACTTTCAAGACTAGCATAGGTTTGTGCAATGTGAGTGTTTTGGCCATAGGATGTTTGAAACTAGGCTTTCCTAAAATTCATTTGAATTACTTGTAATCACCCTTTTTATTTCTTTTATTTCATCATCTTATGGAGGTACAAATATTGTTAGGGTTACAAATATTGCCCCTGCCCCCTCCCTCCCTCCGATATGTCCAGTCCCCTGGTGGTGTGCATCACACACGTTATGGAAGCATACACCCCTTTCCTCCTCCCCACTCCCGCCTGCCCACCACCTGCTAAAAAGTTTTTTTTTTTTAACATTTTGGTTACATTGTATATCTTTGCCTCTCCCTAAGAAGGGTTAGAGTTGTGCCCTCACCCTTTTTTAATTAAAGAATCTTGTTCCTATTTTTTTCCTAAAAATTGAAGATCATGATTGGGAAGTTTTATAACTGTGTTCAATATTAAGTATGACTTTTTGTTTAATCAGAAACCTGTGGTTCTTTATCTCTTGTAGATATGTCTCCTAAAAGTGTGATCAAGGAATTACCCCCAATAGGAAACAGCTATACAGGAGAAATATTCCACACAGTAACATTGGAAAGACATGAAAGCCAAGACATGGAGGATTTTTGCTTCAGGGAAATTCAGAAAAACATGCATGACTTTGAGTGTCAGTGGAAAGATGATGAAGGAAATTACAACACAGAGCTCATGACCCAAAAAGAAAATCTTACTAGTAGAAGAGGCCAACATAATAGAAGGGATGCAGGAAATAAGCCTATTAAAAATCAGCTTGGATTATGCTTTCAGGCACTTCCACCTAAACTACAGCTATTTCAAGTTGGTGGGAATATTTATGACTGTAATCAAGTTCAGAAGTCTGTCAGTAATGGTTCCTTAGTTTCACTACCACAAAGAATTCCTTCTAATAGTAAAACTCATATTTTTAAAAAATATGGGACTGATTTCATCAATCCTTCATTACTCACACAAGAACAGAAATCATGCATTAGGGAAAAACATTACAAATGTAATGAGTGTGGCGAAGCCTTTAATCAAGGTTCACACCTCATGGTACATAAGTTAATCCATTCTGGAGAGAAGCAATATAAATGTGATATCTGTGGCAAAGTCTTTAGTCAAAAATCAAACCTTGCACGTCATCAGAGAGTTCATACTGGAGAGAAACCATACAAATGTAATGAATGTGACAAGGTTTTCAGTCGCAATTCATGCCTTGCACTACATCAGAGAATTCATACCGGAGAGAAACCTTACACATGTAATGAGTGTGGCAAAGTCTTCAGTCGCAATTCATGCCTTGCGCTACATCAGAGAATTCATATTGGAGAGAAGCCTTATAAGTGTAATGAGTGTGGCAAAGCCTTTAATGTGCGGTCAACTCTTACAAACCATCAGGTAATCCACAGTGGGGAGAAACCTTACAAATGTAATGAATGTGGCAAGCTCTTCAGTCAAACTTCAAGCCTTGCAATTCATCAGAGAATTCATACTGGAGAGAAACCTTACAAATGTAATGAATGTGGCAAAGTCTTTAGTCAAACTTCAAGCCTTGCAAGGCATTGGAGAATTCATACTGGAGAGAAACCTTACAAATGCAATGAATGTGGGAAGGTCTTCAGTTACAATTCACACCTTGCAAGTCATCGAAGAATTCATACCGGAGAGAAACCTTACAAGTGTAATGAGTGCGGCAAAGCCTTTAGTGTGCATTCAAACTTAACTACCCATCAGGTAATCCATACTGGAGAGAAACCTTACAAATGTAATGAGTGTGGCAAAGCCTTTAGTGTGTATTCAAGCCTAACTACGCATCAGGTGATCCATACTGGAGAAAAACCTTACACATGTAACAAGTGTGGCAAGTCCTTTAATGTGCGCCCAAACCTTGCTAGACATCAGATAATCCATACTGGGAAAAAACCTTTCAAATGTAATGATTGTGGCAAATCCTTTAGTGTGCGCCCAAATCTCATTAGGCATCAAATAATTCATACTAGAGAGAAGCCTTACAAAAGTGATAAATATGAAAAGGTGTCCATTCAAAGTTCAAATCTTGCGAGTCATCAAAGAATTTCTACTAGGGAGAAATCTCACAAATGTAATGACTGTGGCAAGATCTTCAGTCATAATTCACTCCTCTCACAACATCAGAGAATTCATTCCTGAGAGAATCCTTACAAATGCAAAGAGTGTAGGAGAACATCATGAGTTTAAGCATTAATTGTCATCAAAGAGCCCATACTAGAGTGAAATTATGTAAATGTAATGTACAGGGCAGGGGCTGTACTTAGTCCTCAAAACTCACTAGACATCAAAATATACATCTGTGATAAAAACACATATGTAACGTGCATGCCTAAGCTAATACCCAAGTATCAAAACTGTATAACATCTTTTATGGTGGTGTCTAAGAAATAATAGGATCGGGGGCTCACTACATTAGATGAGGATCATTTCTATCCAAGTTCTTTAAAGAAGAAGGACTCTGCCTTTGACAATTAGCATGGAGTAAGGGCAGAGAATAATGGAACACTATGATGATTGGGTTTGGGGTGCTCTTCCTCCAATAGGAGGGCTCTTTGAGTTACAGGAAAGAAATGTTCTACCAATTGACCATGAAATAAGCACGTCAAGACCATAGGACACTGGAATTTTTTTTATGGGCATAGAATACTAGGTATTAGTGACTAATGTGGTAGAAATATTGCAGGAGAAATGGTGGCCACCTTCATTGAATGACAACAGCTGTTGTATAACAAAGATTATTAAACTACAAAAGGACTTCATTGAGTAGGATTCACATATAACTGCTGGCATTACATTTTGCTGCTGTTTTATTCCAAATGCATCATAGATCTTGTAATAATAAAATTTTATCTTTTTTCATAACTATGAATGAATCATGTTCTTTCGACCAACATAGTTTCATCCCACTTCAATAGGGTACTTCATAACAGACAATAACAATGCCCCATTAGGCTGTTTACATTGAAAGGTGTAAAATAGTTATTTTCTTGGAGGAATCAAACAACATACAATGTTGGGAATGTATACTCATAGAATGCACTTGAGTTATTCTGTCTACACTCTGGCCCTGGGATACTTATATGGGTATAATGAAAGTCTAATAGAAGTGCAATTTCAGACTCTTATACCCTAAAACCTGCATTGTGTTCATGAATGTGCACTGTTATTATATTTACATAGCCTCCTTGTGTGCCAGATAAGACCCACGGCATTAACCTTGATTTACATGAAGAGAAAATACAAACATAGTAACAATATGAGAAAATTTTGGAAATTAAAGAAAATGCGAGGAATAAGGAAAAACATGTTTTGTCTTTTGCAGTGCTCAGTGACATAATTTCAAAATATTAATGTTCACGAATTTCCTCTTAAGAATAAATAACACACAATGGCAAAGTTCAGTTTGGATCTTAAGAATGATGATGTCCTACACCTAAGTGTTATGAGAATGTTTATTGCACAATGAGACTTTCTAGGGAAAGCTGTATAGACCTCCCCTGCTGGTCCAAAAACATCTTGAGAGCCGGCTGGGCCTGGGTGTTAACAACAGTTGAAGGGTGGGATTGGGGCTCGGTAGGGGCGTGTCGCGGGCCGGCGTGGTACTGCAGGCCTGCGTGCGTAAGCGTGCGTGCGCGCACGTACCTACGCACTGCCTTCGTATGCTACGCGCAATAATTAACGACCTCTAACGTCTGCCGCCCGTCGCGGTCTCCGCTGGGGAAGCGGCGGCCTCCTCTCAGCCCGACACGGGTAGGGCGTCGTCTCCTCGCCTGCGCGTGGGAGCCCGTCCTTCTGGCTCTGGTGAGAATTTGACAAATCTGAATTTGTCTTTTACAAGAGTAAATATCTTAATTGTTCCACCTGTGATTGATCATGTACATTCTCCCTTTCTGTGGCAAAGGGCTTAATATATTTTCAATAGGTAAAAGTAGTTATTTTAAATAAATTTAAAAATCTTTAATAGTTTGGATATATATATATATATATATATATATATATATATTTTTTTTTTTTTGAGACAGAGTCTCACTTTGTTGCCCAGGCTAGAGTGAGTGCCGTGGCGTCAGCCTCGCTCACAGCAACCTCCAACTCCTGGGCTCAAGCGATCCTCCTGCCTCAGCCTCCCGAGTAGCTGGGACTACAGGCATGCGCCACCACGCCCGGCTAATTTTTTTTTCTATATATATTAGTTGGCCAATTAATTTCTTTCTTTTTATAGTAGAGACGGGTGTCGCTCTTGCTCAGGCTGGTTTCGAACTCCTGACCTCGAGCAATCTGCGCCCCACCCCCACCCCGGGCCTCCCGGATTGCAGGCGTGAACCACCGCCCCAGGCCTGGAGATGTTTTGATATTACAAGGAGGCATGTCAAAACCTTCCTGTGATTGATGAAGTATCCTTTTTTAATTTCTTGTGAATATGTCCATTTTGTTCCCTTGAAATTTTACAAACATCAAAAAGCTCCACATAAAATAGATTTGTAATTTTACCTATAATTAGCTTATTCTATACTGTAGTGAGTTCAATGAAAAGCTCTACAATGAACTCATTTTTTTTTTGCTTCTGATTATGGAAGTTCATACTGATATTTATGTTTTAGCAACATTACTAGTTAGCAAATACTACATTTTGTGAGATCCCAAAATCTATCCTAGATACATGTTTTTAAAATGTGGTGATGGTAAATTTTCTTGTATTCGTTTGTGGGCAACACCAGGACATAATGCTCTTTTAGACTGAAAATATTTAAACATACTAACTTTTCTAGCTAAACATAATCATATTTCAATTAGTTACCACTTCTGGGTGGATGAAATCTTCCACATGTAAGGATGTGACAGAAAAACTCAATTCATAGTGGATGTTAATTCACAGATATTACCACAAAATTATTGCTTGTAGAAGTGAGTTCATTTGAATTTGATAATCTTGTTTCACTTTCTTTGGGGTTCAAGGAAAGAAAATAACTGCCCTATTAAATGCCCCTAGAAATACTGTAAAATTATTTATTCTTTACGAGAAAATAAATCTAAATGTCTTTTGAAGGCATCTATTTTACAGGCTTTGTAACCCACAAAAGAAGGAAGACTCAGAAATAGAAAATAAAAGCCTAACATAGATTACAATATTGAAATACAATACGTTGTCTAACTTCAGAATCTATGTAAACCGTATTTAAAATTATATCTAGAAAGTATTGACTTAAGCATATTATGATGTGAAGAAAAATTATCTCATAGGTATTTGAAGTTGCTATCTCAAGTATGGAATAGAATATACTTAAAGAAGAACAATGCAGTTTATATCGTTTTTAAAGTTATTGCTTTTATTAAAGCAACAGTTGGTGATCTAACTTATCAGAAGCCTTAGGTTTCCATGGCCCACACCACAAGTCCTGTCCTCCTGGAAGTCTCTGGAAGTCAGCACAGGGTTGACTCTGTCCCTCTGGGGCAAGTGGGGAATAAAAATGGAAATGAGGTTGGGAGGACCATAGTATTAAATTGCAAATTCCCTGCAGGCAGTTTTGCATTTCTCATTCTAGTCTGCATCCCCTTCAGAGATAATTTCAGGACTTTTAAATGAAATTGCTTAGATTAATTTTATTTGCAGAACTTTCCAGAATCCTGTCACCGCCCCAGCCCCATATCCACCCCCCCGCCCCGCGGAGATCCCAGGTCCCAGCCTGCTGAGCGGATTCAGCCTCACTAACATTATTGCGTAAACCCGCTAGGAAAAACCAGTTTTAACATAAACCGTTTCTAACTTAGGAGAAAAACAGTTTGGTTTCCAACACAACTGTGCTTTTAACTCGATACTGAAACGTTTACGCTGTTCCATAGGACGCTTTCTAGACCCAAACCGACCGCCCACGGTCCCTCCCTCCGCGCCGCCCCGCCCCGCCCCCTCCGCGCCGCCCCGCCCCGCCCCGCCCCCTAGGCGTCCCCTCTCTTCGCGCGGGCCCCTCCCTTCCCCTCCTCTCGCGGGAGCTCCCCAAGCCCGGCTCTCCAACGCCCCGCCCTTTTCCCCGTGCCCCTCAGGTCCCGCCTCCGGCCGCTGCGCCTCTTCCCTCTGCGCAGTTTCCCGCAGACCCGGAAGCGGATCGAGCGGGGAAAACATCAGTGTCCATCTGTCTAGATTAAATCGGCCCTTCGCCGTCTTCCAGACTCGGTGTCCGGGTGTTGCTACGGACCCCGAAATCTCCGCTCCGCCCCAGGTAAATACACACCTCGCGCCGTGGGTCCGGAAACTGCTTCCCTTTGGGTTGAAATCTCCGAGGCTGGTCCGCCCCCGATCTTTCTGGCTTCGGGCCAGATAGACACCGATTTCCGCGGTTTTTAAACCTTTAAGCAGGGGTTTTCCTGCCCCAAACCCTTCACTGAACTCCCGCACCGTGCCACGTGAAGTCCTCAGCCGCGAGGTACATTCACGCCCTTTGCGCCACCGTACCACCCTCGTCGGCCCGGGAGGGCAGCGCCGCGGCCTCAGTCCGGGAGAGGCCGCGTCCTTCCTCTGTCTGGTCCTGGAATTCTGCAGACCCCACACTTCTCCGAAAGCAGGATCGCCCCATTACTCCTCCTCCTGCCTGATCCTGCTCCCCAGGCCTCCCCTTCACAGTCAGCCCTTATCCTCACCCACGTTGCGGAAGGTGACCGAGGCCTGTTTTGTGACACCCGCCCATGTGCTCATGTCCCTAATTCTACCCCACTGGAAAATGCTGCTTTTCTGGGAGGCGCGCATCTTATTCCATGCCCTTCCCTGTGAATGTTGAGCAAAGGGGATCAGGGGAAAGAGACAGCAACTGAGAGCAAATAGAAAAACTGAGGGGAAACAGTAAAAAAGAAGGGGTGAGAACTATAAAAAGATGTCGAAGTAGAGAATGTAGAAGAGATTTACAAAGAGACAGTAGAAGTGAAAGAAGAAACCGGGAAAGTAGGGGGGGGGTGGTAGGAAGTAACTGGAGAAATGTAGAGAAAAGCTCAATGTCCTGAGAGAGGAAGGACAGCAAGATAGGGTGAGGGGTAGCAAAGGGTGAGGGGTAGCAAAGGGGGAGGCACCTCAGACAGAGTGGGGGAAGAGGATGGATGATTTGGAGCCAGGGCAGACAGAGAAGCGTGGTGCTGGGACACCAAGAAGAGCACCACAGCAGGGAGGAAGCCTAGGGACCTGGAGGTGCCAGAGAGTGGGGACAGGGGGTTGTAACAGAAGAGGAAATGTAACAGGGAGAACAGAGGGAGGAGAAGAAAGAGGCAGAAATATATAAGATTGGGGACAATCCAAAGATTGGACCAAAACACCAAAGCAGGTGAAACAGGTTGCAAGAAAGGAGCAGAATAGGTGTAAAGGAAAACAAACAGAAGTGGAGAAACAGCCGGAGAGGAGAGGGGCACAAATCAGCAGAATCCCAGGGGGAGAATGAAAGGAATCAAAAGAAGGTGAGAATGAGAAGTATGTACAGAATGAGGGAGGGAAACACATAGTTATGAAGAAAGAGGGGACCCTGTGTCCAAATTAATGGTGAGATGATTGGATTTTGGTGATTAAGTTATGACTTTGGTTTCTCTGTGATCTAATTGTTTGAATTATACAAACGAGGATGAGAATTATCAAGCTCTTGTCTGTGAGGCTGGTACATTTTATAATTCTTGACATCAGAGGCTGGCCTCTTGCAATCCCTGTTCATCCAGAGAGCAGTGACTTGACTCATTCAGTTGTGGGTCACCCTCTTCCCTTTTCCTGGAATGGGGTGGGGAATGGGGGAGTGAAATGGGGAAGAAGTGACTGACTCTGTCACTACATGGGGTCTTTTTAAAGGAAATTTAAAAGAGCTGCTGTTTTTTTTTGGTAAAGAATTTACTTTTTTTTTCTT